TAAAGTGTTACTTGTAATATTTTTTTTTTTTTTTTTTTTTTTTGGAAACGATAATGGTACATTTTACATTTTTTGAAGTGAAAAGTAGCAGTATTTTCACTCAAGGTAGTGAAAATAGTTTCAGTCGAAATCACAAGAGTAAATGTTTCATTCTAAATGTGAAGTGCATTTTGATTCCATAGGAGTAAATGTTTTAATCGATTCAAATGCACAAGATTTACTTTTACTTTCGACTGAAAATAATCATTCAATGGTTAAAAGAAGAGAATTCATTCTATAGGATTGTGCTTTACCTTACAAATTTCTGGCAACAAGTATTATTGAAGACAAGAGAACCATACATGTAAACCATTGGCAAAAAGCACACGTAAAACAAAAATTTCTGTACAAATACTTACTGACAAGTAGTACATTTCAAATGAGACAAGTGTGGCAATAACAATTGAGAAGCACCTTATACGGCAAAAAAATCATATGTGGCAGTTGTTACTGACAAGCACCATATATCTAATAAGATAACTTTGCTTGTAACTACTGCGAAGCAGCATACGTAAAAAAAAGACGACTCTGACAATAGTTACTGACAAGCAGCACACGTGAATTAAAGCGCCTCTGTTTGTCATTGCTACAAAGCAGCTAACGTCAAATAAGACAACTCTGCATGTAACTACTGGAAAACAGCACACGTAAATAAAACGACTCTGACAGTAGTTACTGACAAGCAGCACACATAAAATAAGGCGTCTCTGCTTGTCATTAGCGCAAAGTACCTCACGTCAAGTAAGACGACTCTGCTTGTAACTACTAGGAAGCAACACACGTAAAAAAAATAACTCTGACAGTAGTTACTGACAAGTAACACACGTTAAATAAGGCACCTCTGCTTGTCATTGCAAAACAGCTGACATCAAGTAAGACGACTGTGCTTATAACTACTGGGAACCAGCACATGTAAAAAAAACGACTTTGACAGTACTTACTGACAAGTAGCATACCATTAACCCTTACACTGCCGAGAACAAAGATCTTTGTTTTTTTGGACTTGGCCCAAACTGCCGGAAAATCACAAATCTTTGTCCTATAAATAAATGCTCTACTGACGCCTGATAATGCATTAAACGTGAACAAAATGTGTTTTCTTATGTTTTCGGGGTCGCTGAATATGATTCCGTGATCCATTTTATACTATCTCGCACCCATGACCGACTAGAGCTATAAGAAAATGACTATTTTTTTCATTTTTTGGAAAATCTTTGTCCTCGCACACTCAAGTTTTATGCCACATTTAAACAGTGTTATTCTGATAAGCTATATCATTTATGGGTAAAAGTAACTCAATTCATGACTTTTTGCTACTTTTACCAGATATATCATTTTCATCGTAGTTTGACCCGCTGATTTATCTTTTGCGTGAATTACCCTTAACATCAGCCGAACCCAGGATGCACCGTCGAGGAGGTTGTCAAAAGGATTTAGCATCCCACTTTTTTTGCTTTTTTTATCCTTTTTGTTTTTTTTTTTTGTTCTTTTTTTTCGTTTTATCGCATAAGCGATACAAATAAACTTAATTTATTATGTAGTATAAAAAAATGGTCAGTAAAAAAACTTTCAAACAAAATAGGTAACATGTCGATGAAAATACCCCAAAAATGGTATGTCCAGTTAAAATTGTCAAAGTTTCTAAGTTCGGCAGTCTGGACACATTTCATCTAAATACTCTGGCAGTGAAGGGGTTAATAACACGACTCTGACAGTAACTGACAAGCACCATATACGTCAAAATAGATGTATGTGACAATTGTTACTGACAAGCACTACACATCAAATAAGACTACTTATGGGAAGTAAGAAACATAAAAAAAATGCATGTGGCAGTAAATACTGACAAACAGTACACTAGTGTACACGTTGAAAAAAACGCCTCTGTTCCTTATTATTATTATGTACATACCATTTTGGTTTCGCTGCTCGCCTCCGCATGAGCATTATTTTTTTTTCATGTCTCAACTGTTTGGCTGCTCTTGAAAACCGATTATTTATTGTATATTGTCGTTTACTGTTGTCGTCTGCAGAGAGGCCTGCTTATGTAGCCAGAGTTAGAAAATCTTTCCCGGGCACATTGGCGCCACTAGCGCAGTATTCGTGAACTATAATGGACGTCTAAACTGCTCTGTTTTATCTACATTTTAGCAAAAAGTAATAGCAATTTTCCATAAGAAACTGTGATTTTCTAAAGCTTCTAAGCATATTTTTGAAGATTGGACGTTATTCCTTAGAACATTTTATAACCGGCAGACATTTCCTTTTTTTTATATCCATCGTAGAAATTTGTTATAACCTACGAATTGTGCTAGCAAACAACTAACTTAAAAATTTGTTTTCGTTTTCGATGAAAAGATTATGTCTGCCGGGTGTGTTTCAGCGAGTACTTTAAGCATGCAAATGCGTTTTTCGATCAGTTCAATTTGAACGACGTAAAACCTAAAACAGGTTTGTAGGCACTCCGACATTCCCTTAATATCAGTTGAAGAAGTAGCGCGCAGCCAAGATGATAGACTAGAATCTGTAGAGGTATCTGAAGTCCTCGAGTTCGCGTCCGATTAATACTGAGTAAATTTTCAGGTGTGAAAATAGAGATCAAATAGAAAAACTAAATTTCACTTAAAATCAACATAAACTGACTAGTGGAAGATATATAAATTATTTTGTTATTAATTGCTCGTTAATGTTCCGTACAAGGTTTCTATAAAGTTAATGGAATGAATACCCAGATAACACAGAAAGTTAAAAAAGAATTCAGTCGTATGTCACCAATTCTGAATTAATTTTTAGATACAAAAAAAAGAATTCTTTTCACTGAACCGAATTTTGAAGAATTTTTTTTAAATTCTTTTGAGTTCTCCGTGCTATCTGAGTATGGATAAACATTTCCATGTTATTAGGAGATTAATGGCAAATTTATTAACCTCCGTGTAATGTTACTATCTTAGAATTTAAGGTTGCTATAACCTTATGGCAATATTAATGTGCTGTGAGGGATAATATTTTAAGATAAACCGAAATTGTAGAAAGCTCCTTTGAATAACTAACAGTAAGACTTGAAAAATGGCAAATAAGGAGCAAGCACGAATATAGACACATATTTTGCATTGCTTACAATGAAATATATATTTTAGTACATCACTTTCATATGAAAACATTGTATACAACATTGTCATATAATAAAACATTTTCATATAATAAAACATTTTCGTATAATAAAACATTGTCATATAATAAAACATACCCATCCACTCTAACATGAATATCAACACTTTTTCTTACACAAAGCCAGATATATTTAACTATCACTTTGATATCGAACATCATGTTTTCATATTTAATAGTTCTTGTTGAGAGGAGAGGACAAACATATAATCAAACATACAACAAGATATTCCGCGCCGAGAAATATAAGTAAACATATAACTTGAAAATAATATCGTTAAAATGTACAGCAATCTATCTGCCGTAGAATGTTTACTTTTATAGGCAGGTTAAAAATATGATCACGAGAATATACAACTATCTTGATTTATTTACAGGTGATGAAAGTATACATTGGACATTCGAGGTGATGTGCATACAATCACTTTCTTATTATTTATCATCAGCATCAATAACGTTTTACTATGTACTAAAATATATATTGCATTGTAAGCAATGCAAAATATGTGTCTATATTCGTGTTTGCGTTAAACAAGCCTGACACTTCCCTAATTACCTCTGATTAATAGCATAAAAACGAGACATATGCAAAACAAATGTATCATATTCGAAAAACATTAATTACATGCTCTAAGGTAAGAAAAACAAAAAAAAAAAACACCGTACAAGGATAACTCGTCGCCGGGTTTCGCCGGCTCGCTGCCGGCTCAAAAATTTTCGACGTGGGAACCTCAGTCTACTCAGCCACGCCACCTCGCTGAAAAACAGTCGCATTTTTAGCCATATCCGTGATACAGTCTCGCAATCCAAACTTTATATTGTAATTTCTTATAAACAAAGGCCCAATTGCACAAGTCTCAATTAGGGTGTTGATGCTTAACATTGCAGCTAGCGAACGTGCTATGTCTCGTTCAGAAATCGATTTAGCAGTTTGTGGCATCTCCTTGTTAGACCGATCCTTGAGTCCCAAATTTTCATATATATATTCGTATTCCCAAAACCCCCATTAAACGTCGAAAATTTTTGATGACTCAACTAGATTCATTATATATGTTGCGAAAAAACTCTCCGCCAGTCCACATAGCACAAAAATATTATACCAATATTAAATATGATATTAGGGATAATATTTGAGTAACGTTTGTAAACGTGAGAACAATATTGTTATGATCTTAAAATGTTACTTTCCGAGACATTACCCACATAGCACAAAAATATTATACCAATATTAAATATGATATTACCCACATAGCACAAAAATATTATACCAATATTAAATATGATATTAGGGATAATATTTGAATAACGTTTGTAAACGTGAGAACAATATTGTTATGATCTTAAAATTTTACTTTCCGAGACATTAAAGAAATGATGAAACCTAATATTAATACATTGGTCAATGTTAGATTTAATGTTGCTCTGTGCTGAAAATAATATTACTTTTAATACCGTAGAAATGTCAAGATAATATTAAAAAGGAAGAAAAATAAAATGTATATCCTTTATATTTAATTTTTATTCAAAATTATGATAAAATATAAAAAAGATGGGAATAAAATCATGAAAAATATATAATACTTTCCATATATAATGCCACGCTGAAAAAAGTTAGTCATAGTAACTAAGATTTAGTTCAATAATACGTTCAACTATTCAATCTATCAATTGTTTGGTGAATATAACTAAATATTCAGTCAGTATAAACAAATGTAATTATTACAACTGATTTTATATTTGTTACCAAATATTTAATTATATTCACAATAATTTAGTTTATTGTATTTAATATTTTGTTTAACGTATTGACGTAATGAATTAAATTTTCGTTGATATGGCTTTTTTCATTACAATTATATGGAACATTTAGAATTAGTAATTAGTTTAATAAAAATACTTTAATAAGACTATATCAGAAATACTTAAAAATAAAACCAAAATTAATATACGAGTATTTTATGTTTATAACAAATTTAACATTAATACAAATAAAATTATTAAAGCATGAAATCTTCAGCATTTATAATAATACGCATTGTACGCATTCATAGTATTACTAAACATAATAATACTGAATATCATTGTTAATTATAAAATGTTCTTTGGTCTTGTTCAAATAAAAGTATAAAGTACAAATGAAAGCAAATGGAGAAAAACAAGTATTTTATCCGAAAGTTATCTTCCCCGTTTCGCGTAATTTAACGACAAATTGGGTTATACCGTTCGTAAATATAAGAATATTCTCATCCTTAACGCTAGCGTCTTTGAAGAAGTGAAGCGTCTCGAAGGGTGTGCCGAAAGACGCGGAACTGACATCTTTTATATAAAACAAACTGAATCAAAAACAAAATAAAACAAAATAATTCACGTGTTTTTTCGTTTAAGCCGGCTCTAGATAATGTAGCAAATGTAGACGAATGTTGACCAATAATATATTGACCGTATCGTGTGTAAGAATTTCATATGATCAATTTCAAACTACACATGTAAATTATTATGTATAGATTAACCATTACTATTAATAAAATATTTGTCCTACATACGTGAACAATGTATTTGCCAACGTTCGCTTCCATTAGTTACATCGTCTGTAATCGGCTGTACATGAATATAAAACTCATATTTGACACAAAATTAATCGCCAATTCGATGTCTGTAATTCACGGCCTGAGATTTTTAGGCATAGTCTGGATAATCATAGTTTACATCGTGTTTTAAACAACAAACTTTACCTTAAAAAAAAATACTATGTGGTTTAGAGGATACTCTTAAATACGGATTCATGAGGAATTTCCTCTTATATTTAGAGAATTTCTCTTACATTTGGTGAAATTATCCACTAAATATAAAAGCGGTCTTCTAAATATAAAAGGAAATTTATTTTGAGTCAGTATTGAAGAGTATCCTCCACAGCAGAATATATTTTCGTGCGTTTTTGTACGGATTATAAAATATTTGTACAAAAACAACGTCGATCTTACAACATTGTTATGTAATACTTAAATCTTTTTCTTATTCAAACGAAATTTTACTTGCACAAGCCAAGTTTGGAACATATCTTCTAGCTCCTTGTCAGTTGCTCTTATTGATTTATTGAGTTTTATAACATCTGAAAATTAAGAAACACCTTACACATGGAATAAAATTCCTTAAGCAACTTATACAATAAATTTTGAGTCGAAAAGATTTACCAAAAATAACATTCTTTAATTGTAGTAAACTAAAACATTTTTTGTTGTTTCGCAAACTGTATCATGAAAACTCTTGACACAGTTTATCAGTCATAACTTTTCTCATAAGTCTTCTACAACTCTCTCGAGGACCTATTCCTCCTATTGCTACAAGTTTACGTACCTACAAATAAAAACATATAATTGATGATTTTTCTGCAGTGTCATTTTAAATAATTATAAACATATATTTTATGTGAGAAATATTGGAGAAAGTGCGAATTTTTATTTCATAAACATTATTTGCAAATAATTCAATACATACAAATAGTTTTCTTTCTTTTGACATTTGTTCTCAAGAAAGTCATAAAAATTAATACTTCTTAAAATCAATTTTATGAACACGACCCAGATAGCACAGAGAATTCAAAAAAACATTCAAAAAAATTCAGTCGTATGTCACCAATTCTGAATTCATTGTCAGATGCAAAAAGAATTCTTCAGAGTTCAGTTCAGTGAAAAGAATTCTTTTTGCATCTAAAAATTAACTCAGAATACGTGACATATGACTGAATTTTTTTTAAATTCTTTGTGCTATCTGGAGAGACAACGCAGACGCGCGCTACGCGCGTGCAATTTTGCTTTTTACCACACATTTTAATAAATACTACACACAACCTAATCTATCAAAATTCACGTAACAATATATCATCAGACGATAACAATTGCGACATGAACCTGACCGCATCGGACAACCAATCAGCATCGCGGAAAAGAGGCTTTACAATCTATACAAACTGCA